CCGGGGGGGCCTTGGCGTCTCGGCCCCCCCTCCCCGAGGGCCCCGCGGGAGCCGCCTCGGGCGGGCGGCGGCACGGCTCGCGGCCTCCTCACCCTCCTTCTCTCCTACCCTCGTCCTCGCCCTCCTCCCCAATCCCTCCTCGCCCTCCTCCTCGCCCTCCTCGCCCTCCTCCTCGCCCTGCTCCTCGCCCTCCTCGCCCTCCTCGCCCTCCTCGCCCTCCCCTTCGCCCTACCCGAGGGCCGGTCTCTCCTCTGGGGCGGCTCCCGGACGGGCCCGGTGCCCGATGGGGGGCCACTCCCCGAGGCCGAGGGCCGGCGGCCACAAAGAGCCCTCGGCAGCCTCGCGGGGCCCCGCGCCCCCCGGCTGGCTCCTGCCTGCCGGCGCTCGCCTCTAGGCCTCCTCTCGGGTAGCTAGAACCCCCGCCCAGAAGCCGAACATCCCCCACCACCCTCCTCCTCCTCCTCCTCCTCCTCTCCTCCTCCCCTCCTCCTCCTCCCCTCCTCCTCCTCCTCCTCCTCCTCCCCTCCTCCTCCTCCTCCTCCTCCTCCTCCTCCTCCTCCTCCTCCCCTCCTCCTCCTCCTCCTCCTCCTCCTCCTCCTCCTCCTCCTCCTCCTCCTCCTCCCTCTCCTCCTCCTCCTCCTCCTCCTCCTCCTCCTCCTCCTCCTCCTCCTCCTCCTCCCTCCTCCTCCTCCTCCTCCTCCTCCCCTCCTCCTCCTCCCCTCCTCCTCCTCCTCCTCCTCCTCCTCCTCCTCCCCTCCTCCCTCCTCCTCCTCCTCCTCCTCCTCCTCCTCCCCCCCCCTCCTCCTCCCTCCTCCTCCTCCTCCTCCTCCTCCTCCTCCTCCTCCTCCTCCTCCTCCTCCTCCTCCTCCTCCTCCTCCTCCTCCTCCTCCTCCTCCTCCTCCTCCTCCTCTTCCTCCTCGACGCCTCCTCCTACGCTGGAATCACTAACCCAAGTCTGCCGTAGCTCGTGTTTTTTCGGGTGACGGCAGTTCCGGTTGGTGGAACGGGGCGGGGGGCGGCGCCCCCCAGTGCACATCACCAAACCAGGTCCGAAAGAGACGGGGGTCCATGCAAACGGGGGCCAGCCAGAGCGCCAGATCTCGCAGGATCTTGCAGGGCCAGGGACGCATGGACCCGCGTTCGGGTGCAGGATCCTGCACGGCCCGACCGACCCCAGTTTGCATTGACCCAGGTTGTCCCTCTCGCCCCCCTAGATAGCCGGCTCTTCACTAGAGTCGATCCTGTTTTGCCCGCGCCGCCGCAGCAACCGCACAGCGGAAGCTCCAGCGAGTACGCGTTCTGATACTTCGTGTCGCCCAAGCGCTACGGCGTATGGCATGATTGACTGGCCAGGTCAGGAGATCCCCGAGCCTCAGGGTGCCAGAGACGGGGGCACAGCAAACGGGGGTACGGGGAACGCCATTTTCCACGTTTGGCTATGCACCCGTTTAGGGGGCCCTGGGCGCCGTAGACGGGGGTACAGTAAACAGGGGTATATGGAAAAGCCCAAGCCCCCCCCCGTTTAGCGAAACCCCCGTTTACGAAGCCCCGACCCGAGCCTCGGGACACCCGGTGGGCCACTGCGGTCGCAGGTCGCAGCGCACAGTCAGGGGCGACGGTGGGGTGGGGGGGGGGAGCGGCGCAGGGGCGGGCGCATCGGCCCCCACTCGCCCATGGATCGCCGACAGGGGCACGCTGGCCCCAATCTGCCCAGGAACTTACCACCCGCCAAACCACCCCAACCCAACCCGAAGGGGGGGGGGGTCGGGGAACATCGCCGACTTCCATGTCGATGCGTTCCCCCTGTTGCCAATTCCCCCCCCCCCCCCTGTCGTGGCCCCTCACACGGGAAGGAGGAGCCGCTGCGGAGCGGCAGTCGACCCCGACGGGCCCGCAGTCCCAGAGGTGGCGCGAGACTGTCTGCGGCCCCATGGGCCGCCCTGGGCCCCCGGGGGCGGCATGGCGGCGCGGCAGGGCGCGGGACGGGCGCAGCCGGGCGCCGCCATGCTTGGTCTTCCTGCTCCTCCCTCGTTCACCTCCTCATCCTCCTCCTCCTCCTCCGCCTTCTCCGCCTCCTCTGTCCGTAGCCATTTTGGCTCAAGTTGCAAGTTTCCCCTGGGAGCAAAGGGGATCCCTCTAGCCCGCGGCCAGCTGTCAGTGTTTCTTTCAGGACACCTCAGTCGAGCTGCGCGCTGCTGAGGGCGAGCCTTTCCTACACCAGTGAGCTCCTGCAGGAGCATCCCATGGCAAGTTCCCCTCATGGCGGCCGGAAGTTCCGTCAGCAGAGGGCAGGCTACATGGCTCGTTCTACTCGTCATTACCAGTGGAAGTTACGCAATCATACGATATGTGGGAAATGTGTGTGGGAGATCTGCAACCCGCGCACGCAACACCATCTCGCCCGCAAGGATCTTGGGCACGTGATAGTACTCCGCCGTGGTGGACGCGCAATAGTGAGTCTTCTACAACATCTTCCAGTCCTTTCGCATCGGGACCGCCAGGAACTTGGACGGCGAATGCTACAACGCACGACTTCCACGACCCGAATTCGCCGTTCGCCCCCACCATGGAGCAGATCCTGCAGTGCTTGGAGAAGCGCGCTCCAGAGGCAAAGGACCGTATCAAGGCTTTGGTCACCGAAGCTCAGGCCCCGGAAGAAGTACCAATGCGCCCGGCCCTGCGTCGAGAGCAACGACTTCAGGGATCGAGCGTGGCTGCCCGCCAAGCCAAAGAAGCACTACAGCGAGCTGTCCAGCATGAGCAGGCTTGTTAGGAGTGGTTGGACAAGGCCAAGGCCAACACCCAGCGCTAGGCGATCGAAGCTGCCACAGCCGAGTCCGAGTACCAGAAGGTCCTGCAGGAAGAGCAGAATTTCTTGGGGGAGTCCAGACCGCAGTCACCGGCGGCAGGCGCCACCAACTTGTCCGCTCTCTTCTCCAGAACCTCTCCGACGAAGCCGCCCTGGAGGGCTTTCTTCGCTTCGAGGACGGTGACATTTCAAACTGCGACGAGCTCGAACTCTCCAGCGCCGAGGTCGAGCAGTGGGAGAACTTTAAGGAGGGCCTCGCGAAAGAAATCAAAGCGCCCATTGTCCAGGCTGTGGGTCCGTCTGCGCAGGGTATCGCATCTCGCGAGCAGGAGTCCGAGCAGATCCGCAACAGCGTGGCCAGCAAACGCCGAAGAGCCGATCCAGGAGGACGCCCTGGAGCAGCGGTAGAACCTCCTGCTGCAGAGTCAGTTCCTTCCTGTTCCAGCAGGAGAGGGCGGCAAGGGCGAGGAGATGGGAGCTCAAGGTGCAGCTACTGCGGCGGGTGCTTCGAGTCCTTCGGCGGCGCCCGCCAAGGACGTGGTGGGGCGCCTCTTCCGGGAAGCGCGCAGTTCCGTCGCCGCCGATTTTGGGCAGGCCAAGCGGGGGGCCAAGTCGCGGGTTTGACCGCGCCACCATCCGCCTGCGCTGCGCCAGCAAGCACGAGCACGACAACTTCACGAGCTGCTTCGCATTCTCTCGTCGCGGGGCGCCAATGCCAAGTCTTTGTTCCAGGAGTGCGCAGGCGACCTCATCATCGCACCTGAGACGCGCGTCCTCCAGGGCGGCGCGAACGACATCCCTTCTTTTCTGGACCAGCACCAATGCGCAGGCATCGTCTCGCCAGCGCCCCCTACCAGCTCGCGAGACATGGCTGGCGCAGTTGTGGTGGGCGCCCGCAGGCGTTGCCAGTTTCATTCTTTTCGTCGCCTATCTGACGGCGCCAACTACGCCTGCGGGATGATTGCCCCTGCGGCTTCTTTTGCGCCAGGTCCCCTTCGCTTTCGAGATATCGTGGCAATGACGTGGAAGGCTGCTCACATTTCACTCCTCGTCATCGGTGAGTATTTGGCGGCTTCCAGAGGCGTCTTGCGCGGGCCAAGCATTGATCAGTAATTTCAGCACTGGTGTCGTCGCGTGCAGGACCATGGGCAGTATTTGGGGATTTCAGCGCCGCCCCTCAGGAGGTGCAGTTCTGGATCGGCAGGTGGAGCGCGAGAGTCCACTACCCAGTGAACGCCGCGCGCGCATCTACGAGAGGCACTCGCCAACGGATCATCGACGACGCCATCGCGTCGCAGAGCTTCGCAGACATGCCTCAGTCCCCAGAGTTAATCCCCCCTGACAGCGGTGACAACTGCGGCATTGAGGTTTTCCCGAGGCCCACGCCGCAGTTCAACCGGCGCCAGGTGCTCAACCTACCCGATCCGTTCGCGCCGCCACCGCCTCGACGCGAAGATGCAGACCCCAACGGCAAGCGGGGCGTCAAGCGACAGCGACGAGAGCTACGAGCGCAGGCGCATGCGCAAGCACATACTACAACGACAACTTCAACGGGGGCTACTTCATCACGAGCCCAGAGGGCGTCAATATCGATTCCCCATGCATCTTCAACGCCGCAGATCTCGAGAAGACTTATATCCAGCGCTATGGATGGCGAGACAGATCTGTTCGCGATCCTAGATCACCAGCGCCAGTCGAATGTCGTGCAGCTCGAGTCGCCAGAGGCCATGAACGTCGAGCCAGAGAGCGAGGTTGTGAATCCAGAGGCTACGCGCGCCAAGTATGTCAACGCCATTTTTCCTAAGCAGGTCAAACAGTACTTGATCAAAGAGGTCTACGACTACGACCAGAACGCGCCGGATCTTCTTTGGCAAGACGCAGCGCGACGCGACCACCGTGAGCCACTCACCGAGGAGCAGCGTTGCCAGGTCGACTCCTTCGCTCGATGGGGCACGCGCCAGCTCGACCACCTCTGGAAAGATATCAGCAGCAACCTGATAACCAAGAGCGCATGGACCACGCCTCCTCCTGTATCAATGCTCTCCAGCTGCAGCTGCGCGTTTACGGCGCAGTTTCAGTCGCGTGATATCTTGCTTGGAGTTCTACCTGTGCAGGGTACTTGAAATGCCGAAGTCGGTGCAATGATAATTCTGTGGGCGATGAGAGGCGCCCGCTTTTTCTGCCATCTCAGTCGCCGACAAAGGACAAGCGCGAAGTCACGCCGACACCGCCCTCCAGTGGCGGGTGCGTATCCAGGGCTGGCTCCGTGAGTTTATCAGCGCCCACGCGGCAAGCCGTGGTCTCGAAGCCCTCCGAGCTCGTCCGCATCCACGACCGGGCCCCAGCAGGGGGCGCTCTCGCGCTCGCCTGGATTTTCTCGCGCAACAAGTTCATCATGCCGCAGCCGGCGTGCCTGCGCGAGGTCTGGGGGCCGTCGCAGGTGAGCGAGCTCATTGGGCCGCGAGTTTGCTGAGCGCACGCAGTTTTCCTGCCCGAGCCGCGAAGGCCATGTCAGACAGCATAGACATCATCGCCAATAATTTAGAGCGGAGGGCCGTGGCCAAGAATTACAGCGCGCTCCGCGACTGGATCGTCACTAGTCTGAGCAGCAATGTGGGCAAGTTGCGCCGGTTCGTCAACCCGAGGGCCAGGGTCGAGAAGGAGCTCGCCGTCGACATCAACAGCCGCGCCTCCTACAACGAGATGCCGCGGGCCAAGAGAGCGCCATGGGCAAAGATATGGATATCGCCGCGCTCCGTCGCCGCGAAAGTGCACCACCTACGGCGTGAAGCATATCAACGAGCACGAGAATAGCCACTACCACCACTGGCTACAGAGCAAAATCAGGAGGCAGTGGGCCGCAGCAATTCCAAGAAGGCCGCGGTCATCGAGCAGATTTGCGGCGCGTGCAAGTACCTCCCTCCGAAGGGCATCGGGGACCTGGCCCGCTTCCTCAACCGCTGCGAACTCGAAGGCGCATGGCCGTGGCAGATGCGCGCGGCGCCGATTGCCTTGTTGCGCACGGGCCCCAACGCGGACCGCTCCGTCGACCTCGCCCCTGATGCGATCAGACTGTGGAGTGCTGCGCGCAAAAGCTATGCAACATAATTGGTCGATCAAATCGCAGGGGAATGGGATATGGCCATTCGAGGGTCTTCTTGCTTGCGAGTCGGGCTCCTTCGGGCTCTCATGGATGAACCCGTGGGGGCAGGACCTGAACGCACCATCTCGGCACCGTTATTCTGGGGCACCGAAGCATTTTACGACGCGCTCGAGTTTGACAGACTTTCCGAGCGAGGCCTCGCCAATAATTGTCCGCCCCAGATCTTGCTACTCGAAGGGGTCGCGCACCTCGCTTGCAGGATCTCCAGAGAACGCCGGAGCTTCTCGGAGCCCGAGCAGGTCTACAAGATCACCGTAGCGGGTTTACATCCACTCCATGCTGGAGTACGTGTACAACCAGCGCACACCAGCAGTCTACACGCCGTCTTGGTTTGATGACATCAGTGAAGTCGACAGGTGTCCCGTGGTGTCCCGTCGAGTGAGATCGATAGTGAGATCGTTATTGAGATCGATGTGATGCCCCGAGGTGTCCCGTGGTGTCGCGTGGTGTCCCGCTGAGCGAGATCGATAGTGAGATCGATCGTGAGATCGACAGGTGTCCCGAGGTATCCCGTGGTGTCCCGCTGAATGAGATCGATCGTGAGATCGATCGTGAGATCGATAGTGAGATCGATGTGGTGTCCCGAGGTGTCCCGTGGTGTCCTACGGTGTCCCGCTGAGTGAGATCGATAGTGATATCGATAGTAAGACCGATCGTGAGATCGATGGGTGTCCCGCTGTGTCCCGGGGTGGCCCGTGGTGTCCCGTGGTGTCCCGTTGAGTGAGATCGATAGTGGGGTCGATGGTGAGATCGTCAAGTGTCCCGTGGTGTCCCGTGGTGTCCCGTTGGGCGAGATCGATAGTGGTATCGATTGAGTCAGATGTTTGTTCCCCCCCCTCTCCCCCCCCACAACCTCCTTATCACCCGATGGGTGGTCGTATAGGTGTAGATATATATATATATATATATATATATATCGTCCACAATCCGCCTGTAGGGGGACGCGCCCGACCTAATGCAGCGACGCGCGGCGTGCTTCTTCGCATGTGGGCGCGGCGAGGACAGCATGCAACACTGCGCGCGCTGCCCGCGAACATCGCGGCTCAGCCGGTCTCGGCCAGGGTTGTGGCAGCCTGCCCCATCTAGATTGCCTGTCCCATTTTTCTCTTCTTGTCACCAGGCGCGTTCCAATTCTTGCTAATTGCCCACTCGCAGACGTCCGAAAGAAAAACACACGTCACCTTCGATGTAATGTATCGCAGATCCCCGCGGCGGATCCAGGTCATTTGCGTGTAGTTATTCTCCGAGTCGTTCGGAGGTTGATCGACCTCCTACCCTGACGCGTCGACAGTCGGTTTCGGTCTTAGGCCGCTTGCGCTAAGGTGACATTTGCTGAAAGGGAGGTTTGTCCACCGCCGAGTAGTGGCGCGCACTCTTCTATTTTGTCCCTTCCTTTCGGCGAGGTCGCGGCGCGCATGCGTGCGCGCCGGGCCTTGGCGTTTCGCGCCGCGTGCGCCGCCGCCAGTGCTGCGCGACGCGGACGCACGTCCGACGCGACCGCCTCCCTGGTCCAATTCGCCAGGGAAGCTTGCGCAGTGCGTCCTGGACTGCGCTGTTGCCGCTGCCGGGGCTGGCAGTTGAGTTTTCTCTCCTCGTCTTCGTCTCTCGGCCTTCGCCGTTCGTCTCTCTCGTCCTCTCTCTCCCTCTCTCTCCTTCCCTCCCTCTCTCTCTGCCTGTTTGTCTCCCTGTCTCTTACTCTCTCTCCCTTTCTCTCTCTTGTTGTCTTCCCTCCTGTGCTAAGTTCATACAGTTCATTGCTTTACGATCGTGCATGGCCGCCGGCTCCGTCTGCAGTACATACGCGTGGCCTTTGTGTGGAGCTGCAGGGCGATCCCGCTTGTGATGCGAATCTGGGATTTCACGGATCAGTATTTTTTCAAGTTTCTCATCGTTTTCTTCCTCTTCCTGTCTTTCTTCCTCCTCCTCTTCCTCCTCCTGCCCCGTGCTGACGGCACAACACGTTACTGGGGCATGGGGTTTAGTCGGCGTTGTGCCTGTGGTGTTATCAGTTTAAATGTTGGCCCCGGGCGTTGCCCATTTCGAAAAGGCAGGACGTCCTTTTTGGCGTTGACCTTGTAGGGTGATCCGCACGTGCCGCCGCAACCGTTCTTTCCGTCCGGCGTAAGGTTGCGTAGGGCCGTTTTTTTTTGGGGGGGGGGGCGGCGCGCGCCGAGGAAATCTTATCCATAATGGCTTCGCCCCCATGCCGCTGGCCCCCCTCTCTTAGAATGGGACTTGCCAGAGCGGTGTCGGGATGTCTGGACGCTGACGTGAAGCAGTGTCGGGACTTCACGCGAGGGCCAATAGCAATTCACGAAGGTTTATGGCTTCGATGGCGCGAATATTAAGTAAATTACGATGGTGTATGGCTTCGGGGGCGCGAAATATTGAGATTTACGAGGGTTTGTGGCCTCGGGGACGCACGCATCGTGTAATTTACGAGGGTTTGTGGCCTTCGGGGACGCAACTATTGGTAATGCAGGAGGGTGTATGGCCTCGCGGATGCGAGCATTGTTTGATTTGCGAGAGTTTGTGGCCTCGGGGGCGCAAGTATGGTGTAATTTGTTAGGGTTTATGGCCTTGAGGACGCGACTATTGTTTAATTTTCGAAGGATGGCTTCGGGGGCGCGAGCATTCTGTATTTTACATGGGTTATGGTCTCGGGGGCTCGAATATTGCTTAGTTTACGAAGGTGTATGGCTTCGGGGACGCGAATCTGGTGTAATTTACAAAGGATGATGGCTTCGGGGACGGGAATGTTTATGGCCTCGGGGACGCGAATATGGAGTAACTTACTAAGGGTTATGACTTCGGGGACGCGAGTATCATGTATTTTTATTTGTTTTACGCCCCCCGAGGGGTTCAGACAACGCGATTCGGGGACGTTAGCCAGGACGTTTTTGGCTCCCCTCCCTTGCGCGTTCAGCAACAATTAACAGCAAGGAAGCACAGAAAGCAAGCCTGTGACAGTGGAATCTGGAAGCTGCAACTGGAACAGGGAGCTGCAAGCCTAATCTTCGCAGCCTGATGGCCCCGCAAGCGGGCCGGCGGACTTAAAACCAGTTTTCTTCTTTGAATTTCGCATTTGCGATGAGCATGTGGGGGGAGGGAGAAAAACAAAAAAGCACGGCCAGAGCCCTAGACCCTTTTCGAGCGGAATCGATCTGTGAGAGCCCGGAGGCCCGAAACGAGGCAAAAACGCCCGGTTCGGAAAAAAATGCAACGCCAGGATCTCAGGCTCCTTTCGTCCCACTCCGATTGATTTTTTGGCCTGGGTTGGTGGGTCCCTATATTGGTGTCAGCGATCGCCAGAGGTTTTTTTATGGTTGTCCTGCTGCGATTGCCAGCAGGGGTAACTGTGAAACTAATCCTCCTGTTGCTGCTTCTTTCGGACGAGGGCAGGCCGAAGATAAATCCGTCTAGGAGCGTTCGGGAACGCTCTCACAGAATTCTAGAGCGCCCTGCGAAGGCCGTGGTGCCCGAGACATCCTCCGGCGCCGTTGGATCTCAGAGATTCTTGGTTTTTCCGTGCCCGGTGTTATCCCCGTCCTGGTTTCGTCTTATCCCCCTCCCTGCGGCGTGCGGGGAGGCGGATTGGACTGCAGCCTTCTGCAGCCTCGAGCTTATCCTTATCCCTAAGGGATAGGGATAGGGATAGGGATAGTGATATGCACAGCTTAGGGATAGGGATATGTTCCAGGCTGGTAAATCCTGCAGCCTCAAGCAGCAGCAGCGAACAGCAGCAGTCCACAGCAGGCAACGGCGGCACAGCAAAAGCAGGCAGCAGCAACATCAACATGCCGCAGGCAGCAGCAGCCTGCAGCTTCAGGCAGCAGCAGAGGCGAAGCTCGGGCCCAATGTTATGATGTTCCAACCTACTTTAGCCTGAACCACCAGAAAGAGTCTCGAGCACCAGGGAAGTACCGAAACTGGAGGGCCTTCACGTGTCGGGCCCTGGGAGGCGATACTCGTTCGACACCGTGTCGATACTATCCTGGGTGCTCGAATTTTTATCCGGGATGTGGTCCGTAAGTACGCTGGGAGCAACATATGCCCAGTGATCCTCGCCGAGCTTCGTCCCACCGATGTTTCCGCGATAACGTGCCGCAGGCAGCAGCAGCCTGTAGCTGCAGGCAGCAACCAGCAGAGGCGAAGCTCGGTCCTCAGGAGGCTGGAGGATATGGGGGGGAGGAGGAGGAGGAGGAGGAGGAGGAGGAGGAGGAGGAGGGGGAGGAGGAGGAGGAGGATGATGAGGATGCTGATGATGATGCTGATGATGAGGAGGAGGATGAGGATGCTGATGATGATGCTGCTGATGATGATGATGATGATTATGATGATGATGATGATGATGATGATGATGATGATGATGATGATGATGATGATGATGATGATGATGATGATGATGATGATGATGATGATGATGATGTTGATCTTCATCGATCCTCGCCCCACCGATGCATCCGCGGTCCTGGTGCTGACGTGCCTGGGCGACGCCGGCGGCGCGGAGGCCTCGTGGCGCGGGGACGTGCGGGAGGCGCCCGCCGTGCACCCTTTCGCGCGCGGGGGGGCCCTCGGCCCCCCGGGATCGCGCCCTCGAGGCCCAGGCGCGAAGTTACAGTCGGACCGAGGTACAGGATCGAGGTCGGATCGGTTCGGGGCAAGTTGCACGCCGGTCGTTGAAAGTGGGTATTTCTGGATTCCCAGAGCCCAATCTACTTGAAGCGTCTTCCTGCTTCAAGAATCGACATGGTTCGGCTGTTGCTTGTTATTCTTCGGGCGGGCCAGAAGCCAATCTGCTTTGTCCGCCTTCCTGCTTCATGTTTCTACGCACTTCTTCCGACCGGCGTGTACAGTCGGACCGAGGTATAGGATCGGTGTCGGATCGGTTCGGGGCAAGCTAGAGTTATG